CAACTGCCCTCAACAGTGTAATCGAATGTGCCCCCTTGAATAAAGCCACACCCCAAGGAGCCTAGTGGGAGAAGGGGTGCTAATAACTTTCTCACATGGTTCTCAAGGCCACCAGTCACACCTGACTCCACACTGTGATCAAGGGCTCTTCAAGGCGACAGCCAGGACCCCGCTATGGTTCATTTGCTCCAGCAAGCACCAAGCAGGGAGCTGCATTCCCCCCCCCCCCCCCCCCCGCAGTGCCCCTCCCTCCAACAGTATCCACTCCTTTGTCAGAAATAAGAGTCAAGAAAGCCCTGGGCTCCAGAAAGCGCAGAAGGTGGAGAGTGGCCTGTCCTCCCACTCTCACCATGACAGCAGTGTGTCCAGGCAGGCCTGCACAAACAACACCCGCATCACATTACCAGCCACAGGTCTACTCCTCAGAGAGGCATGACGCATAATGGATTTCATGAACGGCACTTTTCCCAGATTCGGAGGCAAGGTTTTCAACTGACTGAGTCCTGGCTCCCTGGATCTAATACCACATGGGGTGCTGCTGGGTCTATCGCTGCAGACCCCACCCCCCAGAGCAGTCCCACTCCAGTACTGTCTGTGCAGAGCTTGCTACCATGCCATGTGCCCAATGAGCCAGGAGTCTCATGTCCTAAATGCACACAGTAGCCCCATCCACCCTCCCCTTCACTCATCCGGGGGTCTTCAGCTGAACTCCACTGTCAGTTCAGGGGCAGCAGGAAATTTCTGTAGAGCAGTGGGTGGAATTCCTGATGCAGTGCCCCTGTCACCCCTGAGTTTGGATTTGTTAGCATAAATAAATGCCTGCTGACACCTTCACCCCACTCCCAGGTCTCACACTTAGCAGACCCAAGAAAGACATCACACTGCTGGCCCCAGGATTAACTCAACACCCTAGGACACTAGTGGAAAGACGCAACTCAACATACCAAAGTATCCAGCACAGGCCAATATTCCTAAAATGCATCCATTCTCTTGTGGTGAGGGTGTTCTAAGCAAGGGTTCCCAAATTTATATGGCCCACCACCCGTGTTTTTAAGTAACACCAGCACAATTTTCTTTAGAGCTTCACATAATGATCACACCCCACTATTTTGCAAACAAAACAAAACAAAAACCTAACATTAAATCTGTGATGATGACGCAGTGAAATGCAGGGCCTTCCTGAAGGAAAACAACAGAAAGCGCTTTTCCCCTCCCCCTCACCCTCTCCCCCCATTGCTCTCATGACTATTACTACTCACCGGGATGATCACAGCACTCCCAAAGGAATGCTGGAAATCACCCACTTTGGAAACCACTAATCTAAACTAAGCAGGTATAAATTATTTAAATCTCTCCTTCCTTCCAGAAGTGGAAGACCTTCAAGAATGTTGTCTTGAAGGGGAAGGGAAGTCAGGGAAACGATGGGAACACAATTGATCCTCCGTCCACTTCTACCTGAAGTAGTTTGAGAAATGTAGTCATAATCCACATTTACTATTTTCTCAAGACTACAGAAATACGGAAGGAAATTTGGAGCCCACTAAATAACTCGGATATCCTATTACGAGGGTTGAAAACAATCCACCTCTCACCATTTCCTAGTAAGCTTAGGAATTCCTCCCTAGCAAGCCCCTCAGCAACTCTCAATAGTAACAGGCTGGGGAGTTACCAGGGTTAAGGCACTTGCCTTAAATGCAGCTGACCCTGTTCAACAGCAGCACTGCTGGGAGTAACCCGCAAGCACTGCCTAGTGTGGCCCCAAAACAAAACCAAAAACCCTGCACTTATTTTGTTACATTTGTTCTTTTGGGGGGCAAAACTTGGCAGTGTTCCAGAACTACTCCCCGCACGGTGTTAGGCAAGCAGGCAGTGACAGGAACAGAAACCAGGGCTTTGTGCATGCAACCCTAAATTCTGCATCTGAGACTCAATTCTTAGAAGGGTTCTTTACAAAATAACTGAGCCACTAGACTCAGAAGTATCAGACTTAAAAATGCTTCTTGGGCTGAAGAGATAGTACAGCAGGTAACTTGCTCGTGACAGACCTAGGTTAATCCGTGGCATCCCAGATGGCCCCCCCGATCCCCACCAGAAATGATCCCCAAGTGCAGAGTCAGGAGTAAGACCGAACACCATCAGATATGGCCCCCAAACAAACAAAAAAGTGCTTCTTTAAATCATATAAAAATGTCTCAAACACTCAGCACAGCTCCCAGGTAAAGGACACCTCACCTGTGCAGTGCGAGGCACAGGTGCACTCTGCTTACCGCACTGCTGCCAGGAACACTGCCAAGGGTTTTACCACACCTCACAGACGAGGAAGCTGGCACTCTAAGAGGTGACCAGCAGCGAGCCCAGTGCTACCCTCCAGCTAAGCGACAGAGGGACCCAATGCCCATGCTTGGGCCCACAAGAATGCAAGTTCTCACAGCTTCTCCACATTGGGAGAGGACAGAATGGGAGCATGACTGTCCAGCAACCTTGATCATTTCACATAAAAAGGGAGGAAACACCTAGATCAGAACCACTTTTGGAAACCCACAGTGCACTGTTCAAACCTCACTTCTCTTCAGAACGAAGCAAGTTATAGAGTGAGGTCAGAAATCCCTTCTATGAACCAGAGTACAGTGGGTAGGGCAACTACCTTACACTTGCCAGACTGGGGTTCAATCCCTGGCTCTGCCAGAAGTGATCCCTGAGTTTAGAGCCAGGAGTAAGCCCTGAGCACAGCTGGGGGAGGGAGGGAGGGAGGGAAGGAAGGAAGGAAGGAAGGAAGGAAGGAAGGAAGGAAGGAAGGAAGGAAGGTCCTCTTGAGACTCTTAGAGCCAGAGAGATAGAACGGGAGGGAGGGAGGGAGGGAGGGAGGGAGGGAGGGAGGGAGGGAGGAAGGAAGGAAGGAAGGAAGATCCTCTTGAGACTCTTGGAGCCAGAGAGATAGTACAGCAGGGAGGGAGCTTGCCATATATGCAGCCAACCCAAGGGTCAATCCTTGGCATTCCATATGGTCACCTGAGCATTGTCAGGAGTGATTCCTGAGTGAAGAGTCAGAAATAACCTGTGAGCACTGCTGGGGTAAATCACACACACACACACACACACACACACACGGAAAAAAGAAAACTCCTCTAGAAACTCTTGGGGCTGAAGAGATAGTACAGATGGTAGGGTGCTGGCTTTGCATGCAGCAAGCCCAAGGTTGGATCCCTGGCATCCATACAGTCCCCCAAGCATCACCAGAAGTGATTTCTGAATGCAGAGCCAGGAGTAACCCCTGAGCATCGCTGGGTGTGGCCCAACACACATACACACCACATCACCACATTTCTGCAAGGAACAGGGCAAGCCCAGGGCTGAGCAGTTCCCTGTGGCTAGAACAAAGCCCTCAGCCCATTTAAACACAGTCTCAGTCACACACCCTCACACCGGGCCTCTGGAAGGAAAAAGCAAGGCAGGCAACAGCCATCAAGGAGTTAAAGGCTGGCCTGGAGTCCATTCGTACCACATGCAGTTGCCATCAGCCAGGCAAACAGATGAAGTGTGAAAAGTCCTAAAACAAAAGTGCAGAGACCAGCCCGGAGCGCCTGTGCTGCAGGTCCTGTCTGTTTATATTCTGTCCCTCCCTGACAACTCTTTCATCCTCCCTGCAGCCAAGCCCCCACGCAGGCAGGCGAGCACACACCCACCACCATGGCAGCAGCAGCAGGAAGGATGGTGGTCCCTGAACTTGACCTTGCTACTGGCCAAGGGTGCTCAGTACACACACACACACACACACACACACACACACACACACACACAGAGTTCCCCTTAGACTCACCAGGTACATAAAGGGGCTTTTCAGGGGTTTTTCCCCACCCCCGACTTGCTTGCTCACTCACACATGAACTCGCCTGGAGCAAAGGGGCACAGGGCCGCAGCTGTTCCTTCTTCCTTCAGCACTTGGCAAAAGGGGCTGGAACTCCAACTCGCAAATGTCTGATCCTTGGGTTCCACTACGAACCCACCCCAACAGATCCGTGGGTTTACCTCCGGGGAGGGTTTAAAAGAACGATCAGCATGACAGAAACTGCCACCCACCTCGCCCCCCGAAAAGGGAGGACCTGGACCTCACGCAACCTGCAAAGCCCCAAAGACCTCAAAGGCACTGAGACCCCAGGCTGACCGATCTCACTCTGCTGATCTGAATTCCTTTACAGGTTTGCAAACTACCCACCCAAAGGAAAAACCAAAAAGTGCTCCTTCAAGAACTGCAGTATTTATTGTTCTGTGCTCGGGGCAATCTCACTCTAGAAAACCAGAATAAGCTTCTGGGGGGAGTGGGTAAACTTTAAACATGTATGTGCATATATACACGTATTGCATGCGTGCGTGCGGGTATGTGCGCGTGTGCGCGTGCGCGCGAATGTGAGCGCCTGTGGATGTGCGTGCGTGTGGATGTGCACACGTGTGTGCGTGCGTCTGCGTGTGCATGTGTGAGCGCATGTGTGTGCGTGTGTGTGTGAGTGCGCGCGTTGTGTGCATGTGTGCACGCGTGTGCGTGTGCGTGCGTGTGTGCATGTGTGCGTGCGTGTGCGCGTGTGTGCGCGTGTGTGTGTGGCGGGTGGGGGGGGGGGGGCCGCCCGCCCCTAGTCCCGGCGCCCAGGCAGCAGGGTGCAGAAGTCGAGGCCGGGCCCCCGACGTTGCTCAATCCGGCGCCGGGCGCGGACTCCCGAGGCGCGGGGCGGCGGGGACGCTGCGCTGCGGGGACCGGCTGCAACCAGCCCGCCGCCAAGAAACGCACCCGGCGCCGAGCCGCCGAGCCCGGGCGGCTCGCTCTCCCCCACTCCTTCTTTTTCGCCTCCGTCCTCGCTCCTGGCCCCGGCCCCCCGGCCGCGGCTCGGCGCCCCCACGCGCGGGCCGCGCGCACAATGCGGGGCCGAGTGCCGGGGCGCCGGCCCGGCCGACCCCTCCGCGCACGCCCCAAACTTCCCCCAACTCCGCCAACTAAGTTTCGCCCTCACCGTGCGGCGCCGGCGGGCTCCCCCGCGGCTCCCGGGGCGCCGGCGGACGACAGGCGGCCGCTGCCCGCGGCGGCGAGGCGAGGACGCGAGGACGCGGCGGAGGCGACCGAGGTGCGGGCGCGGCGGGCGAGGCGACCCGGGCGGCGGCGATCTCCGCGGGCTCCGCGCCGCGCTCTCCCGGCACGCCGCGCCCGCCCGCGGCGCATGCGCACGGCCGCCCGGGGGCGGGGCCGCGGCCGGGGCGGGACCCGCGCGGGCGAGCGGCCCGTCCGTCGGCGCGGAGCCGGAGGCGGCGGGCTGCGAGTGCTCAGCCGAGCTGTCCGTCACGGCCGGGCGGCCAATAGGAAGGCTGCGGGGCGGGGCGCCGGGTTGCTAAGGGAGGCGGCGGCGGCGGCGGCGGCGGCCTGGGGAGCGGCGCGCAGGGCTGTGGCGCGGACTGGGCTGCTGGGCCCGGCGCAGCCTCCGGGCGACTCCGAGCAGCTGCCCCGCGTGCAGCCTCCCCGCGGCCCTCTTCCTCTGTGCGCCCGCCCGTGCCGAGCGGCTCTCCGCTCCCCCGCCCAAGCTGGAGTTGGCGTTGCTCCCGGTAGGCTTTCAACAGGTGGGTTTTGAGCGTGTTTTGTTTTGAGTTTTGTTTGTTTTTTGGATTTCGGAGGTGCCTGGCAGGAGCCCCCAGGTCTGCACACTTGCAAAGCAAGCAAGTCCCCGACCACTGAACCATATCCGGAGGGAGGAAGGGTCGATGGATGGAGGGAGGGAAAGGGAGGATGAACAAATGGGTGGAAAGACGGATGGGTGGGTGGGTGGGTGGATGGATGAATGGTGGGTAGGTGGATGGGTGAATGGATGTGTGGGTGGATGGATAGGTGGGTAGGTGGATGGGTGGGTGGGTGGGTGGATGGATGGATGAATGGTGGGTAGGTGGATGGGTGAATGGATGTGTGGGCGGATGGATAGGTGGGTAGGTGGATGGGTGGGTGGGTGGGTGGGTGGATGGATGAATGGTGGGTAGGTGCATGGGTGAATGGATGTGTGGGTGGATGGATAGGTGGGTAGGTGAATGGGTGGGTGGATGGATAGGTGGATAGGTGGGTAGGTGGATGAATGGGTGGATGGGTGGGTGGATGAGTGGTGTATGGATGAATGGTGGGTAGGTGCATGGGTGAATGGATGTGTGGGCGGATGGATAGGTGGGTAGGTGGATGGGTGGGTGGATGGGTGGTGGATGGATGGGTGGTGGATGGGTGGAATGGATGGATGGGTATGAAGGTGGATGGGTGGGTGTATGGATGGATAGGTGGTAGGTAGGTGGGTGGATGGAAGGATGGGTGGATGCTTGAATGGGTGGATGGATGGGTCGGTGTGTGGGTGGGTGGTGGGGGGAAGCTGGGTGGAGGACGGAGGGGGATGGGTGTGTTGATTCTCACCTGTATGGCCTGAGCTCACAGAATACAAGCAGCGCCAGACTTTCCCACGGCCACAGGGGAGACTTATCTGGCAGCCGCGTCTTTCTGCTCACTTCTTTTTGCTCGTTCTTATCTAGTCAGTGTTTTGAAGGAGGCCCTGAGAGATGAGAGCCAGTCCTGATGTTGCCACAAGGAACACACTGTCCTCTTGAGGTGGTAACTTCTGAAAGGAGCAAGCCAGCAGCTCTCCCGAGAAACCCGCTTAGACCCAAGTTGGGGACAAACCCAGGCTCTTTTCCAGAGTCCAGCAACACCACGTCCCATCTTGCTTGGGGCTCCAAACAACCAAAACCCCAGAGAAAGCCAAGAGCCCAGTGCTTCTGAAGTGGACGGCGCCTATACATCTCTTCGGGGGTGTTTCCTTAGGTGTCAGTTCTAATGCACAGGTGTGGTGAGAGCTGGGCCCCTCTGTTTCCCACAAGCTCCCAGGTGGCCCACTTTTTTGGGGGGCCACACCCAGTTGTGCTTGGGGTTATTCCTGGCTCTGCACTCAGGAATTACTCCTGGCAGTGCTTGGGGGACCATATGGGATGCCGGGGATTGGACCCAGGTCGACCATACGCAAGGCGAATGCCTTACCCACTGTACCATCTCTCCAGCCCCCAAAACCCCACTTTGAGAAGCAGGGTGCTCCTGACTGACTTCCCCAGGACTCTGCAGGTCCTCACCCTCGGGCACCAGCCTATGGGAGAGTAAAATGTTATGTGGTGTGTGAATAGGTGCGCACAAGGAGCTGGCTGGCGGTGTCTCACCCAACGTGAGTTCAGGGGAACTCAAGATTCCTCCTTCCCAGAGTGTCTCCTCCCCCTGTGGCCATCTCGCTGGGAGTCTGAGCCTGGTGATTTCTCGGTTTCCCTGAGTAAGTTGGCAGCCAGGGAAGGTGCCAGTTCTTATCTCGCAGGAGTGGAGTCGAGTGTCTCTGGACTAGATCTCCAGCTCCCTCTGACATTCCTCTTGCCTCAACTTATAGTCTATAATGCCCAATATAGTGCCTAATATCTATAATGCCTAAGAGATACATATACTATATATTAGGCGTACTGCTTACTTATATATAGATCTATATAGCTACTGAGGGTTGACTGTATGCCCCAGGATTAGACAGGAAGGTCCCCTGAAGCTCCAGAAGTCCCAGCCAATAGGCCAGCAGACCAACAAGCATCCCGGCCCACAAGTGGGTATGGGGTCTTGGGGTGCCCAAAGAGTGCCTCCACTGGAGGGGTGAAAGTTCAGTGGGGGCCTTGGCGGATGTGAAAGATAAGACAAACCCAGGAGGGCAATCTGCAGGGCAAAGGTCAGTGAAGCAGAACAGAAAGCCAGTGTGGCAGCTGGGGCAGGGAGGGGCACAAGAGAGGAAGAGCAGGTGTAACCCAGGGAGGTATCGGGAAGCACACACAGACACAGGACTTTGGAGAGATTTGGCGTTAGTCTGAAGGCAAGCACTGGGGGCGTCCGTGAGGGGCACCGGGGCCAGAGAGAGAATCAGAGCTGTGTTTGTTTGGGGGGCCTCACCCACACACTGCACCAGGATCACCCTGGAAGGTGCTGGCGGGACTGGGTCCAGACGTGACGCCCTCCCAGCCCTGGGAGACCGGCCTTCAACCTCAGACCTGCCTGGCACAGAGGAGCCTTCAGAGTCCCATGGGGTTGGGGCTTGGGTCTCCCTCTGCCGACAGTGCCACATTCCAGCATGCCATTAGTCTCTGACTCCTCTCCCAAGCTCCCATGGAGTCAGGCCACTTATCACCTGCTCAGTATGTGACACTTCGTCTGCCAAGACAAATGTCACATTCAGAAAGCCTTCCAGTGAGGGAGGGCTTTGCAGACCTTGCCTGGGACTGGGCAGGAACTAGGGGACAATGGGCCACCCCCAGCAGTGCTCAAGGGCTATTTCTGGGTTCTGAAGTCTGGACACCACACATGTTGCCAAGGGTTGAACCAGGCCCTGTACACACAGCAGGTGCCCTCACTCCTGGTGTGTCTCTCTGAAGGATCTTTACTGGAGGTGTGCCTTAGGGTCCACAGACAGAACCTTAGGGCAACGGGTCCTGACTGGTAGCACCACTCATCCTGGTAACTAACTCCTAGCCCAGTGGCCAGTGTCAGCAGCAAAGTGCTGTCAATTCAGAAGAGTGTGTCCCCAGTGTCAGAGCAACCAAGAGCTGCATTAGGCTGATCCCCACGACCCCGTGAGACTTCGCACCAGCAGAGTAGTTTTTAATTAGATGAAGTAAACGCTTTGGAAAGTGTGAAGCTGACAGCCTTGGCGAAGGCCAGAAATAGCAGCAAGGCCTGGGCACCTCTGCAGTGACTAGATCATGTCTGTGGGCTCGTGGGTTTCAGGACAGCTGCCTGCTGAGACTCTGTCACATCTGAGCCATCTCTGAAAACCGTCTGTCAGACAGAAGAGACGTTAGCTCTGGTGCCCGTGGCTGAACCGTGTGTTTGGTGCAGGTCAGACCTGCACGTCACAACTGCACCAGGTTCTCTGACACCTTCAGCGTTTGCTTTGATCTGGCCTGGTTTAGGGACTGTGCCCTGTGATACTCTGGCTCGAGTACCCAGGGGTACTCTTCTGGCTCAGGCCTGGAAATCAAAGTATGCAGATGTATCCTTTCATTTTTGTGTTTTGTTTTTGTTTTCGGGTCACACCCAGCAGTGCTCAGAGTTTGCTTCTGGCACTGTGCTCAGGGATCACTCCTTGTGGGCTCAGAGACCCTATGGGGTGCTGGGGATTGAACCTGGGTCTGCTGTGTACAAGGCAAGTGTCCTACTTGCTGTGCTGTCTCTCTGGCCCCTGTCCTTTCATCTTTGAAATATGTAACTTTGTCTTGGGGGGTTGGCTGTGCCATTATGAACTCTCTCTCACATACACATACACACACACACACACTCACACACACACACACAGAGTGAGTCTAAGTTTGCTTGTCATGGCAATAGGAGCGAGCAGCCTGTTACCCTCCAGCTTACGACGCCTCAAAGACTCAGTGTTTCAGGACTTGGGGGAGAGAGCCCAGTTGGCTGAGCACAGCCTTTGCACACAGGATTGCCAGACCCACATGGTCCCCCCTCCTCCATACCACTGGGTGTGGGTCAAAGCAACAACAGCTCAAAAAAAAAAAAGCAGGTTTTCGCCTTTAGCAGGGAAACCAAAAGCATGGCACCGGTGAGCTGCAGAGCCGAGGCCACTTCCTGCAGGTGCCCAGGGCTGCAGGGAGATTTGGAGCCTCCAGGCCAGATTCTGAAGAAGTGGACCTGGACAGACTGGGGGAGAGACCACAGGGCAGCTGGGCCCCCTTGGACCTCTGAGTGCCCACGCAGCCTGCAAGGACCCCATATGCCTGGCCCCCTGTGGAAACAGGTCTGACTGCTGTAGGGCTGGTAACCCTGAGCCTCCCTTTGAGACGCATTGGACAGGCCTTTCCTGAGAGCCTGCGTCCAGGCGGAACAGCACTGAGCCTGACAGCAAGGCCCTGAGACCCGTGCAGGTGCAGCCAGTGAGCTGAGTCCAGCACCCATGGCCTGCTGGGATCTCCCTCACACCCCAAAAAGGTCACAGCAGTGTTTCTGGCTTGGGAGGCTTCTGTGACTCATTCCGTGGGCTCACTCAGGGCCCCGGGCCCCTGCCTGCCCTCCATGCTGATTCACACTGGG